GTACGTTTGATTTTCAATAATTGAAACGAGGTTTGTTTGCAAGTTTATTATCCTTATATTTATCAATTATTTTCTATTCATCTGTTTTAATATTGCAATAAGTGTAAAGCGATTAAAAGAGATGAGATGGTTAGAAATTGTTCAATGTTTAGGACTGTATCTTTTAAAATGTAAATATCAATTTAAATTATTTGTTACTTAGACAGCATATATTTTAAAAGCAGCAGGCCTAAGTGCACCATTTAAAATTGAATTTAAATGTCTTGACTTTTAACAATGAATCCTTGAAAATTATAAGATGTTAATGACAAACATTTAAAAAGCTATAAATATATAAGGAAATGTAACTATGTCAAATACCTGTATGTAGAAAGATACAGACTAAATCTCAATTATATGTTACCTGGTTGTGCTTTCTTAGAAAAAACAAACAAAAAACAACGAACAACAAAAAACTGCACATGTTGGACAGTCACAGACATCAAAATCTTTGCCACAATAGGACGTTTGCAGTTTGTCATCAGTGGGTACACCAGGCACAAGTTACCTTTTCAATTATGAAGCTATTATCAATTGTCAAGCTATCAATTAAGCATATCAAATACAATTCTCAAACATTCTGTACATTTATTCATAAAAAGAATATTTTCAAAAGATTGTCCATTATATCTTATTGAGATACGGCTATCCAATCATGTGAGAAAGAAAAAATACCAGCATCAAAGTACAAACTCCATTTTATACAATAACGCACAAATTCCTTTGAGAATGCAGACAAAATATCGTAGGAAAATGCCTAATCGTGATTAAACACCTTTGAGAAGCCAGATAAGTGGAATATTCTATTACAAGCCTTGCCAGATATCTTGTGAATTGAGTATTATCGGAATGTAGAAAACAAAAAGAAAACATTACATAAAGATCTTTCAAATGTGCTCTAATTGTAATAAGAGCGATACAACATTTGTTTTCTTTTCTTAATCTTTTTCCATCATTTTCGACATGACACTACATTTGGATAACTCTTTAATCACCATCTTGTTTTATATGTCTTTAAATAATGCACAGTAATGTAAATTAATTTCTTGAGCATCTATAAATTTATGCCGCTTGTCTATAATTGTCAATATACAAAGGTTTACCATAACGTGCCTCTATGTTTAAGGTTGACAATTGCAATTCAATTGAGATAGGCCCTAGATGGGCGATGCTCCACTCAAATATTATTAATTAAAACATGAATATAGGCCATATTTATCTTATTAAAATGTATGATTTATAAAATGGTCAGCAATATTTCTTTTAAAACTTTACACCAAAAGGAAGTTGAATCATACACACAAAAAGTTATGTCACTATGAAAGACGAAACGAGGAAATGTAGATTTAACCAGTCAACAATTGCATTTTTACTGATAAATTAAGCGAAGTTTGCACATCTTTGTTAGGATTTTAAAATTCTTATTGCGATTTATACATATTTAAAAAAAATTGAAATATGGATATTCCTGGCATGGTTTGAAGAATATATGTATCATTAACGAAAAAGAAATAGGCTGAAGTACATAGACTGCTGATCTCAAACAGCAAGTTAAAAACGAGAAGACAATAAGATAATCATTTTGGAATATTAAAATCAACGACAGAAGAAAGAAAGAAATGAAAGAAGTCTACGAACACCAAACACTTGAATACTTTCGTAGTAAATTCCCAAAAAAATCTTTGATACATCCATATAACAATCTGTATCACAATTTCAGTTAGAGCTCTTCTATTCAAAGTTTGATTTTAACCTCTTTTTGTATTTGTCTTACTTATTTTTAACAGTTGAAAGGCTCTTGTATATCTTGATATTCAGTCTGTATTTCTAGAATTTCTCACCCATGTGGATTCGAATCCTGACAGGGACTTTGAATTCTTTCATGTGAGGAAGCTTTTCAGCTAGCATACGGAACGTAGGTGGTTCTAGTCAGGTGCCTGTTCGTGCCTGAAATAATGCACGAAAGGGCACATGAGATCGTCCTCCACCAGTAAAGCTGGTGAGTCGCCAAATGACATTTACTGTGTCGCTGTGACGTAAAACAAAGAAACAATCAAACATTTCTAGAATTGTTTTTATCTTATTTTAACAAATTCTCATTTATGCTTAATATGATTTATGGTATTCTTTTAAATTTGCTTCTTTCCTGAAATAGTTTCGTTTCAGGTCAATACTGGAGATTACATTAGATATGTCCAAAGAATAGTTGAAATCCCGGTGACAATAACGGCAAGTGTTCCAAAGCACTGAATGAACATGTGCTATTTCGTGTTAAAAATTATTTGTTTTTCTTTTTTTAAATTTTAAGTTTATAGTTATAATTTTCTGGTAACAACTATCCCCAAATTTCCATTTAATTATAAAATATAAAATTTAAATTTAACACTCGTTATTTGCTTAAAAGAGGGGAAACCCTCGAGCTCTGGGGAATTATTTCACTTGTCATGTGTTAAATATTTTAAAGAACATTTAAGCCCGAAATAGGGTGGTATTAAAAAAAATATCGTCATATTTTGCAATATTTTGAAAAAAGTGTAAACCCTGCAATTTTTTTTATTTTTTGACAGCTAGGTTTTAATTTTAGCTAAAAAATTTCAAACAAATAATCAGGTTGACTTGGTCAAAAAAAGTTCAGATAACATGAAAACCGAATTTATCATTATTTAGTAAATCGTGGGCCCAAAAAGTTTTTGTTTTGACTTCAACCATTTTTCCCTCAGCACCAAGGGTTCGACTCCCGCTCAGGAAACCCCTTGGATTCTTTATGTAAGAAAGCTATCCAGCTACTTACAGAACGTCGGTGTAGTTCTACTCAGGTGCCCGTTCCTGGATGATTATCCAATGCACGGAGCGGGATGGGCACCTGAGGTCTTCCTGTACCAGAAAAGCAGGAAAGTCACCATAAACACAGTTTTGTAAATTATCATATAAAAATACCATATCACTAACACATAAATCAAATTTTTCTTTCAAGAAACATTTGTAAGAATACCCGATTGAAACATTTTTATTGCCGTTATTAAATATAATTAAAACATTTTAAAATTTGAAGAACAGCAATGGAAAAGCAGCTTCAAAACACTTCATATACAGAACACACATGGAAATAGGGTGAATAAAGAACTCACACGGATAAGTTAGAATCTACTGGAACAGTTATAGCTCTGCAAGATTCCGAAAGGTCTTTTGCCACATCCATCAATTCATTTCATACATTATTAATCAATCTATATAATAAGGCCAAACAATTTTACACGATTGCAAATTATACCAAGCGAAAAGTTTTTCATGTACTATATTCCTTTTATAAATGAAGACGTCTATTAAAATACCTTAACAAAATTGTTAGATTTACGTTGTTTTTGTGAAAGCCGCTTTTTCTTTATGAATAATCAAAATACTATCACCTGACCGTCATTAAAACCTAAACGAATTACAGAATGTTTGTCTTTTTGGAGGTTAAAAACGAAACCAACATAAATAATTCTCTTATTATCTGTTTTGTTTTCATTCTATAGAGAGATAAATCTTTCAGTTTTATACATAAAAATGCTTTACTAATTATATTATAACACAAATATGTGCATATGTGCACGTGATAGTGATTACTTTTCATAACTCTTGAGTTAGTCGTTTAATAATTATACTACCAAAGAATGATTTTAGCATCTATAATTCATAGATGTACGTTTTCTGTGACATCATTTTACATAGACAACCAGGTAATATCAAATAAAATACACTAGTTTATTTTTTTTAGAATTAAAGAGACTTGCATTTCCGCGAATATTTTTTTTACCAATTCTTGACATTTTATCATTTCATTTTTATGTTGTTCAAAATAAGGTGTAATTGCAGAAATTTCACATTTAACGGTTATTACCATTTAAGTAATATATCATTTTTTCATAAAGTGGAAACAAATTAAAATTCATTAAGATATTAAAACTTTTAGCTGGAATAGACCAGTTGAGCAGATAAATATTATCACTGTATCACGTTAACAATTTCAGCTGACTGGTGTTCAAGTTATATAATTATAACAAATACAAAACAGAACTTACACCCGACATATTATTCATATAAAATGAACAGGTTTATCGTTCTTTATAACTGCGTTTTCGAATTCCAGACAGAGTGAATTGATGGTTTTCAAAATGCTATACGGTTTACAAGTTTGCATAATTTTTGGTAAATTTTCATTTATCTTTGTATCTTATGTATAAGATAGCATAGTGCATTTCTAGTAAAATGACAAATTATAAAGATGATTTAAACATTTGTAAAGAGTATATTCTTTGTGTTGAGTGAATAAGATTTGTATCACACTAAGGGAGAAAACTAATTAGAATGTGGCTGTTTTTACTGCGAATAAAAGTAAGAGTTTATATTCTCCATTGCGGTGGAACGGTACATTTTACAATGCCAGTTGAATCGATTCATATGAACGCAAAAATTTAAAAGCACATTATGCCTCAGAAATCCATAATTTTGTTAATCAAACATGTGTTGAATAATGTTTAAATAATGGATGTAGAGCACGTTATGTGTTCAACAACAGAAGCATGTAGAGCTGAATGTGCAGTTATGTGTCATAAAGGTAGCAAAATGTAAACAAAGTAGTATTTTGACTTCCATACAAAATTCTAATTCACTATAATTATACCAATTACTAAAACAAAAAGCAAAAGAAGTAAAAATATTGTTAATTTACGTGACAAATGAGTTATTTTGTTGTAAAAAGGTACCAAAAATCAATGTTTTTGAGAAATAAAAATTATAGCATTTGTGAGGCATAATAAGACTTTATGTTTTATGTGAGTTCACAAAACAATATCCATGCCATCTAAACATTTAATAAAGCAAGATCAATTATATACATAGATATAAAATAATATCTTTCTAAAAAGACTCAGTATTTTCCTAGTTAGCATTATATAAAAAATATTAAGACAACTTACCATAGGTGATATTAAAATTGTCTATATTGGCAGCATGCTTCTTTGCTTCGTAAAACCATTCGGATGTATTCCCCAAGTAATCATATTCAATTGACAAATCCTTCACATTGATAGTCCCGTTCTCTGTTCTGTAGGCAAAGGGACAGAACAGGTATAAACCTTTATACTCCCTATAGTCATAACAATTACCAGCAGCAAAAATGTCATGATCACCTTCAACAAAATTTCGGACTTGAGTATAAAAGAGGTATTCCGAATCAAGAACCTCTTGTGGGGCAGTTTTCCATATTCTTGTCAAAAAATTTGCCCTGTTGACGGCTACAAGAGCTTGTCTTTTAAATCTGTTTATTCCATATTGTTGAATCACTCCTTTGCCTAAATTAAATTGCGTACCTGGTTTACAATTTTCCTTATTTCGTTCGTACTCTTCAACTTTCTCAAGAAATTCTGCAATTATATCATAACTTGAATCATTTGATGACGAACGCCTTGGTTCACCAGTGGTTGTTAGATTCACAACAATTTCAGAATATACTGTAGCTGGTGTGTCCTAATCGTATACGCTTTAACATTGAACCTCCCGCCGCACACACGAACAACACACACTAAGAATATTCCATAACTATCTAGCAGATTGCCATAATTCGTCAATGATATTTTATTCTAAAACATATATCAAGACTGGATGGTTATCTGATACTAAGGAAGCCGAACGAGATTGAATAATAATTCCAATTTATTATGATGGTACTAATACATCAAAATCTTCACGTGTACTTAAATACGTATATTATTTCAACCGCTAGATAGTTATAATTTAACTTGATCAAAAACGCACAACACGCTCATGTTACATTACAAATTTAATCCATTTAACTTGGTCCAGTGTTCGATAGCATACGTTTATTAATGTTTAAATCTCGTCCTAAGAGAAAATCCTCATGCACACATTGTAATTGGTTAAATCTATTCATTTCTTCCGCTTTCATTGAGCGTAAAACTTTCTCATTAACTTTGCCAATATGAACCAATTTTCGTTTCCCAATAATGATTTTTATTATAATCCATTAATTAAATAAAATTTAATTTCTTATTGAATGAAGTTAATATAACTAATTCAAACACTTATCATCGCTGATTTCTTTTTTTAAATTCCGACAATACTTGTAAGGAAGATTATAGAAAATGAAAGCCCAATGCCTGCTGTAGAGGAATTTCTATGTCTAAAATCAATACACTATCTCCAAAGCCACAGTGCACTGTCGTATAGAGAAAGAAGAAAATCGCCTAGAATTGTAACATTGATAAAACCAATCTAATGACCATCATATTCCACAGTTTTAGAATGAATTTCAAAATCACCATACGGGCACATGCCCACATAGAAAATATTATAATATATTTTCCAGCTTCAATCTTTAAAAAAAATATTTCTAGACATGCCGGTGAAAAAAATCGCAACAAGATTTGTCCCTCATTGACACTGGACATACAAGTCATGTTATTGATGCAAAATGTTAATATTTTGCTAACTGTTTATATTTCAAAGAATTAACAGAAGTGTACCAAAACAATATTATAGTTTTCATTTGCTTTTTTTACTTTAAGCATTCTATTAATTATTGTATTTTGGGTAGATTTTAAGACAAGATGTTCGGACGTAAATCTCAATTCAGTCTGTGCGTAAAGTGGGACGGTAATCATTATTGTCATCCTAAAAGATATCAAGCCGGTGCTGGGGGGGCGTGAGTGGTACCTTGTTTTTGCCACTACCGTTCGTTAACAGACTCAGGCACAATTACATTGATAATATTACATTTTTATTTGTGTCCTTTTTGTTGTACTTAAAGGGAGTCTTTTTTCCTTTCAAGGCCTAAGGAAAATCCATTAATACTGTAGTGGTAAAAGTACATGTATTCCAAAGGTACATTGTACCTTGTCCTATTGAATAATTCTTGGTATTCTTAAAATACATAGTCGAACAACCAAATATTAAAATCTGTACATTAGACCTTTTCATACACAGTATTTACATAAATGTAAATTCAAAAGCAAACTTAATGATTCAATAATTCATACATTGTAAATGGTTTCAATATCAATTGAAATTCACTGACAGTTTTTTTTTTCTGATTAAAATTCTGATCAATCACAAAATCGTCTATCAACGTTCACATTCGTATTCATATCAATGATGCCTCATGGCGGATTCAATGCACAAAGAATGTATTATAAAGTCCAAAATTATACGATTCGCATGTTTAAAATTTATGAGAGGAATGTTGTGTTCCCATTAACTCAGAACAAATTATTAAATACAACATGATAGTATTACATTGAAAACATTTATTTTGTACTCTTAACCCATTACTTCATATACACGCCTTTTAACGCCTTTTTCACCCCCCCCCCCCTTTTGTGGTCTCAAATGGTGAAAAAATGCCTTATTTAGGCCCCCAACACTTGTTTTTGTTTGAGAAATGTTGTTAAAAAAAGTGACCTCTTTTTCGGCGCGGCCCCCCATCCAAAAGATACATCAGGGGTTGCCAGAAGGGGATGTGCCCCCTTCTGTTTGGGGGGTTGAAGGGGGGCGGAGTCCCCCTCATCGCCAAGAAAATTTTGGACTTGTGAGAGGCTGTAAATGACCCCATATTGATCATAAGGTAACGTGTAACCAACGCTGAAAAAGCATTTGACTCTATCTCAATCCATTGAGAAGTTGTAGCACTTTGAAGTCAATTTTGATGGAAAAAATCAACGCAAAATAGTGATTTTTGGCAATTTTGAGATGTCCCCTCATTGCCATGGTAACAGAAAATTTAAGCCTGAGCATGTTGTTGCAAGGGCAATGGTCCAGTCAACATTTGTGCCAAGTTTGATTAGTGTTGAAGCAGTTTTTATAGTATTATAGCAGTTTGAACTTGTAACGGGAGACTTTTCAATGAAAAACAGCCATTTTTCACAAAATGCTCATGAAGTAATGGGTTAATGAAAAAAATAAAAAAATCTACAAAACAACAATTTTTCTTCAAATTTATATGACAGGCCATGTTTAAACATGAAAAAACGCGATTTAGGGTAATTTCAAGTATTTTCATCATTTTCTGTTTAACCCATTACTTCATGTACACGCCTTTTAACGCCTTTTTCACCCCCCCCCTTTTGTGGTCTCAAATGGTGAAAAAATGCCTTATTTAGGCCCCCAACACTTGTTTTTTTGTTTGAGAAATGTTGTTAAAAAAAGTGACCTCTTTTTCGGCGCGGCCCCCCATCCAAAAGATACATCAGGGGGTTGCCAGAAGGGGGATGTGCCCCCTTCTGTTTGGGGGTTTGAAGGGGGCGGAGTCCCCCTCATCGCCAAGAAAATTTTGGACTTGTGAGAGGCTGTAAATGACCCATATTGATCATAAGGTAACGTGTAAACCAACGCTGAAAAGCATTTGACTCTATCTCAATCCATTGAGAAGTTGTAGCACTTTGAAGTCAATTTTGATTTGGAAAAATCAACGCAAAAATAGTGATTTTTGGCAATTTTGAGATGTCCCCTCGTTGCCATGGTAACAGAAAATTTAAGCCTGAGCATGTTGTTGCAAGGGCAATGGTCCAGTCAACATTTGTGCCAAGTTTGATTAGTGTTGAAGCAGTTTTTATAGTATTATAGCAGTTTGAACTTGTAACGGGAGACTTTTCAATGAAAACAGCCATTTTTCACAAAATGCTTCATGAAGTAATGGGTTAATGAAAAAATAAAAAAAATCTACAAAACAACAATTTTTCTTCAAATTTATATGACAGGCCATGTTTAAACATGAAAAAAACGCGATTTAGGGTAATTTCAAGTATTTTCATCATTTTCTGTTAACCCATTACTTCATATACACGCCTTTTAACGCCTTTTTCACCCCCCCCCCCTTTTTGTGGTCTCAAATGGTGAAAAAATGCCTTATTTAGGCCCCCAAACACTTGTTTTTTGTTTGAGAAATGTTGTTAAAAAAAAGTGACCTCTTTTTCGGCGCGGCCCCCCCATCCAAAAGATACATCAGGGGGTTGCCCAGAAGGGGGATGTGCCCCCTTCTGTTTGGGGGGTCTGAAGGGGGCGGAAGTCCCCCTCATCGCCAAGAAATTTTGGACTTGTGAGAGGCTGTAAATGACCCCATTTATTGATCATAAGGTAACGTGTAACCAACGCTGAAAAGCATTTGACTCTATCTCAATCCATTGAGAGAAGTTTGTAGCACTTTGAAGTCAATTTTGATGGAAAAAAATCAACGCAAAATAGTGATTTTTTGGCAATTTTGAGATGTCCCCTCGTTGCCATGGTAACAGAAAATTTAAGCCTGAGCATGTTGTTGCAAGGGCAATGGTCCAGTCAACATTTGTGCCAAGTTTGATTAGTGTTGAAGCAGTTTTTATAGTATTATAGCAGTTTGAACTTGTAACGGGAGACTTTTCAATGAAAACAGCCATTTTTCACAAAATGCTCATGAAGTAATGGGTTAATGAAAAAAATAAAAAAATCTACAAAACAACAATTTTTCTTCAAATTTATATGACAGGCCATGTTTAAACATGAAAAAACGCGATTTAGGGTAATTTCAAGTATTTTCATCATTTTCTGTTAACCCATTACTTCAATATACACGCCTTTTAACGCCTTTTTCACCCCCCCCCCCTTTTGTTGTCTCAAATGGTGAAAAAAAATGCCTTATTTAGGCCCGAACACTTGTTTTTGTTTGAGAAATGTTGTTAAAAAAAGTGACCTCTTTTTCGGCGCGCGCCCCCCATCCAAAAGATACATCAGGGGGTTGCCAGAAGGGGAATGTGCCCCCTTCTGTTTGGGGGGTTTGAAGGGGGGCGGAGACCCCTCATCGCCAAGAAAATTTTGGACTTGTGAGAGGCTGTAAATGACCCCATATTGATCATAAGGTAACGTGTAACCAACGCTGAAAAGCATTTGACTCTATCTCAATCCATTGAGAAGTTGTAGCACTTTGAAGTCAATTTTGATGGAAAAAATCAACGCAAAATAGTGATTTTTGGCAATTTTGAGATGTCCCCTCGTTGCCATGGTAACAGAAAATTTAAGCCTGAGCATGTTGTTGCAAAGGCAATGGTCCAGTCAACATTTGTGCCAAGTTTGCATTAGTGTTGAAGCAGTTTTTATTGTATTATAGCAATTTGAACTTGTAACGGGAGACTTTTCAATGAAAACAGCCATTTTTCACAAAATGCTCATGAAGTAATGGGTAAATGAAAAAAAATAAAAAAATCTACAAAACAAAAATTTTTCTTCAAATTTATATGACAGGCCATGTTTAAACATAAAAAAACGCGATTTAGGGTAATTTCAAGTATTTTCATCATTTTCTGTTAACCCATTACTTCATATACACGCCTTTTAACGCTTTTTCACCCCCCCCCCCCTTTTTGTGTCTCAAATGGTGAAAAAAATGCTTATTTAGGCCCCAAACACTTGTTTTTGTTTGAGAAATGTTGTTAAAAAAAGTGACCTCTTTTTCGGCGCGGCCCCCCAACCAAAAGATACATCAGGGGGTTGCCAGAAGGGGGATGTGCCCCCTTCTGTTTGGGGGTTTGAAGGGGGGCGGAGTCCCCCTCATCGCCAAGAAAATTTTGGACTTGTAGAGGCTGTAAATGACCCCATATTGATCATTAAGGTAACGTGTAACCAACGCTGAAAAGCATTTGACTCTATCTCAATCCATTGAGAAGTTGTAGCACTTTGAAATCAATTTTGATGGAAAAAATCAACGCAAAATAGTGATTTTTGGCAATTTTTGAGATGTCCCCTCGTTTGCCATGGTAACAGAAAATTTAAGCCTGAGCATGTTGTTGCAAGGGCAATGGTCAGTCAACATTTGTGCCAAGTTTGATTAGTGTGAAGCAGTTTTTTATAGTATTATAGCATTTGAACTTGTAACGGGAGACTTTTCAATGAAAACAGCCATTTTTCACAAAATGCTCATGAAGTAATGGGTTAATGAAAAAAATAAAAAAATCTACAAAACAACAATTTTTCTTCAAATTTTTATGACAGGCCATGTTTAAACATGAAAAAACGCGATTTAGGGTAATTTCAAGTATTTTCATCATTTCTGTTAACCCATTACTTCATATACACGCCTTTTTTAACGCCTTTTTTCAACCCCCCCCCCTTTTGTTGTCTCAAATGGTGAAAAAATGCCTTATTTAGGCCCCAAACACTTGTTTTTGTTTGAGAAATGTTGTTAAAAAAAGTGACCTCTTTTTCGGCGCGGCCCCCCAACCAAAAGATACATCAGGGGGTTGCCAGAAGGGGATGTGCCCCCTTCTGTTTGGGGGGTTTGAAGGGGGCGGAGTCCCCCTCATCGCCAAGAAAATTTCTGTACTTGTGAGAGGCTGTAAATGACCCCAGGTTGATCATAAGGTAACGTGTAACCAACGCTGAAAAGCATTTGACTCTATCTCAATCCATTGAGAAGTTGCAGCACTTTGAAATCAATTTTGATGGAAAAAATCAACGCAAAATAGTGATTTTTGGCAATTTTGAGATGTCCCCTCGTTGCCATGGTAACAGAAAATTTAAGCCTGAGCATGTTGTTGCAAGGGCAATG